GGCAAGGCTACCTTTGGGGCGAGCTCACTGACATTGGAGATATGTAAGCAGAGACTACATGACTGCCATAAGGGCCACTGTGAGCGGCTTCCTAGATTGGACTGAATGACCTCAGAGTTACTTTTAATCCCAAGAATTGTGATGCTTGGATCACGGTATCTATAAGAGAAAGTAAACTTTGTGGGAGACCACATAATTGCATGTGTTTCTTCTCCTCACTGGAGTGGCCCCAGCAGGCCCAAGGGTCACATCAGGGCTGGGAGGGGCCTGGCCTGGAAAACCCTCTGTAGTGTGGAGATAGTTGTAAAGCATATTTTTTTCAACCTACAAACAAAGAAAATGAGAAAGCTCCATCCATCTTTGGTCTAGATAGATGGGAAGAACTACTGCTGGCTTTGAAATGGAGGCCTGGGTTGCTGGCACAAGGAGGGCCCCAACTGGTGTCAGTGGTCAGCTGGGACTTGGTCTTTGTCCTCCCAGCCATATCTCGTCAGGAGGCCTTGTTAATCTAGATGGGTTGCACATGACTCCCACGAGATCCTGCTGTGCCTCGGGCCATGGGCACTGAGGATGGAGGCTCAGATGGGTTTGGGAAGGTGGCAGTGTGGGTAGGGTGTGGTGGAGGGAGGAGGTTTTCTTCAGAAAAACTCGGGAGTACTGTATACCATCTGTACAACTTAGTCTCTGCCCGGACTCCGCTGTGTTCCAGAGTGGCCACCAGGTGGTGCCCCTGCCACAAGCCCAGTGCCTTGTAGGCAGCGTTTGGGTTCCGATGCTGGGCTGCCCCAGGAAGCCAGGGTAGGACCTGGCATGTTTTTAGGTGAGCGAGTAGTCTGATGGAAGGAGAAAAGGTGTGCGTTTCCTCGGTCAGTCTCCTGGCCGTCACTGAATATCCCCCTGGGGATTTTTACTTTTGTGTCTCAACTTGACTGGCCAGATTATGATCTTAGCAATTTAAGGTAAAACCAGTCAAACAAAAATGTATCTGGAATGCCTAGGATAGAGAACAGAGATTCAGGAATGGGGTGCTGCTGGGAGGTGTTGACCCTCGGGGCTGAGAAGATGTGGTGGCAGCCCCAGGAAGTTCTCTATTTTGGATGGGCTGAGGAGACCTCTAGGGGTTGGTAGCTCCTAGCTGGCCTAGAACGAAGAGGCACGCTTGGACAGGTGGGGAAGGACAGCGCATGAGGGAATGTCCTGGCAGAGGTCTAAGGGTGGGCAGAGCACCAAGGGAAGAGCGAGGTGTGGTACCAGGGCCTGTGCAGGCCACAGGAGGGTCTTCTCAGCGCACCTTGCCCGCTCCAGCCCTGACGTGGTCTTCTGAGAGTTGGGCCGAGTACACTGGTACTGAGGCTGTTGTGTTCACGCCCGTGCCTGCCGTCATCCTGGACCTTCACACAGCACAGTAAGTTGGAATTCCTATATGTGGCCTCTGTGACCGTAAACATCTTTAGAATTATTTGCCAATATTTTAAAGCAGAGTTGCAACAAAAACTCCATTTTCAGCTTCTCTTGAAAAATCAGACTGCCTGTCATACTGGGTGTGCCTTTGCATGTCCGCATTGGCTGGAGCTGAGCAGCAACTGCCCTGAAGACAAAGCGTGTGCCCTCCCTGTGTTCCTCAGTCCTACTCCGCCTGTTCGCTATTCTCAGGATCTCCCTGGTCTCTCTGCCTCTTTCAGTGGCTAGTAGGGGAGGGGAGACAGTAAGAGACGCTGTTAGCAGCCAGAAGGTCTAGGTGGGCACCAAGCTCTGAGGCTGCCTAGCAGGGATAGGTCTAGCACAAAGGGACTGTTGTGGGCTTGGGCTCCTTACACCTCTATCCTTACCCCTCCCACAGGCCTCTTTTCTTGTGGGAGGGGTATGAGAAAGTGGGGGGTCACTCCCTTGAAGAGCAAGCACAGCTATAGAATTGGGGCTGAGGAGGGGGTCAGGGGAATCTTGAAGGGTAGAGGAGTTCTCTGAGTAGGACCTTGAAAGACTGGAGAGGGCTCCCAGGGCCTCTGCTGCTCCTTCAGGGCTATGAACAACAGGTCCATCCATTTCTGATTCCCCAAGAGGGATTTTGGGGCATGGCTCTGCCTCAGCTACCCACAGGGAAGACATCTTCAAGGTATTTTAATCATAGGTGGTTGCCCCTGCATCCTTTATTTCTCCCAGCCTCTTCCCCTCCCCCATGTGTGGACTCATAGTGAAGGGGGGGGCAGGCACCTGTCAGCACTCACATCTGTTGTTTCCTCTGCTGGCCCATTTCCCGTCACTGGCTGTGGTTGGGGACTGTGCCCCTGTCCTTGGTATAGGCCCAAAAGCTAGCCTTGGTCTCCAGTAAGGCAGGCAGCTCCTGTCACCACCTACACCATTCTAATTTGACTTCCCCCTGGGGCCTGAGCAGGAAAGTCCACACCCAAAGCCTGGTTCTGTGCTTTCCCCACCCTGGGTGCTGGCTCCCCTCTATGCCCATAGTCTAGCTGCCCTCTCCCTCTATAGAGCTACTGCCCCAAATCATGGGCTTGTTTCTCACCTCCTCTGGCTGCCTGTGGCCAACCAGGAGTGGGCTGCCATCTGGCTCTGGACCTTTGCCTCTAGATTAGCTGGCTTGGAGATGCCCGTTGGTGGTGAAGCAGGTGCTGAGCTGGGCATGGAAGAGCCCAGCCAGAGGCCCACCCTTCAGCACTACCCCTCATCCTGACCCCCCTAGAAAAAAAATTCCCTGGCATCTGCTGCAGTTTCCATTTGCTGCCCTGTTGCTTGGGAGGCTGAGCCCAGACTCCTTTCTGCCCTCCTGCCTAATACCTGGTAACCTGGGATTTGTCAGGGTTTCTCTGAGGATCATTTGATCCAGACCCCAGCCATGCACAAGAGGCAGCAGGGAAAGGGCGCGTTGCATTGAAAGCCTTAGGATACAGAAGGTAAGGGTGTGGGCCCTAGACAGTCCACCTGAGCTTCGACCCCAGCCCTTCTCTAACTAGCTGTGTGACCTTGGGCGTATCACATTCCTTCTCCGTACCTTAGCTTCCTTTGCAAAAGGAGCCAGATAATGTCATAAGGTTGTGAAGATGACATGCGTTAAAGGGAGGCTATGAAGCGTGTGTTATCATATAGTAACCTCAGCTTAAGTCATTTCTATTGAAACCAGAAAACCCAGGTTCCCATCTTGGCTCCATCAGCTGACCGTGGGCAGATCTCTCCCCCTCCATGTGCTTCAGTTTCCTTCTCTAATATGGGGCTATGTGCCCTCCCTTGGTGAGGTACTGGTGGGGATAATGTAGGTAGAAGTGGATTGTCTGTCGTGAGTTGCTGTGCACATAGGCAGTGTTATCATTAATTCTGAATTCTCAGAATTTTCGGTTCAGGACGGGTGGGCGGTTTTGAGATTTGCCTTACCTTTGCAGAGAAGGCAGGCGCTGGAGACCATACAGCTCCGTGGATGAGGCCCTGGGTTGGGAACAGCATTAGTCTTGGAGGTTAGCTTGGACCAGGACATACTGCAGTCAGCTTCAGGGCTACAGGCTTGAGTGCAGGCTCTTCATCGATTCACAGCCCCCCTCTCTTTGGGGCAGGGCGCTCCTGGGCGGCGTGAAGCTGCTGGCCTTACCCAGCAGGCCAGGAACCAAGCCTTGCGCTGTCTTTGGAGGCATTTTGGTTTCACCTTTTGGCTTGCTGCGGTATACTGGGGGCCCTTAGGAAAGAAGGAAGGGATGGCTAGAAACAAAATTCGGAATGGTAAAGCAGAATTTCCCGGTAACAAAATTTTCTTGGCCATGGAGCAGGGCAGAGGGTTAGGGCTCTGGTTAGGGTCGGGGCAGCCTGCCCCTTCCCTGTCTTTGCTGGTGTCTTGCCGCATGTGAATCAGGTCCAACTAGGTGTGTGGGTCATGGAGGCCCACATGCACCTCTGCTACCTCCCTCTTACCCTGTCTTCTCCTGTGCAGCCCACGTGGAGTAGGCATCCAGGGAGCACTGGATGAGTGGATTTCCCATCTGTGGTTGATGTGCACAAGCAGAGGGGTGGAGGGGTCTGGGCCCTCTATGGCCAGAGGGAGAGGAGAACCCCTTTATAAAGGGCGAGCCTGTGGCTCTGAGAGGAGGAGCTGATGGCAGAGCTGCCTGCTGGGCTCAGGGGACTGCAGAGGGACTGGGCCTGCACCCTGCAGGGGATCACTGCTGGGGCATCAAGTCGCCTGCGGAGCTGAGCCCTGTGCACCTCATGGGCAGAGATCCTCTGAAGCTGAGCTGACCCTGCTCCCTGGACTGAGTCCTGGGCATGCAAGATGCTCCCTCTTTCTGTTGGGGAAGGGGCCTTTTTAATTATATCCCCCTCCACTCAGATGGAAATGAGTTTGGATTTTCTGAGCATACACCAGCTGGCTGGGGGGAGGCAGCCCAGAAGGCTGCTGGCTGGGGAAAGGAGGAGAAGGGAAAAGGGGGTGGGGGGAGCCAGGCCAAGATGGAAATCCCGCATTCTCACAGCAGAGCTCTGGTGGGGCCCGGAGTGCGCCCTGCAGCTCATCCGTCCTCTGCTTTCCTCCCTCCCACCACTTGGACGGAGCATCCTGCTCCTGCTTTTTGGGCTCAGAGGGAGTGGTGTCCACTCAGGTCAGCCTGTCCTTTGAGAACCACAGCCTTCAGGGTCCAAACCACTTAGCTGGCAATTAGCGAGGTTGCTCGGTAGTAAGCAGGCTTGTCTGTGACCTCGGAAAGGTCCTTCCAGACTTCTAGGCCCCTCCTTTCACGGGATGGGAAGAGGGGGTCTGAGGCCCTGGGAGGGAACGGGGCCCGGCGCCGATCGGAGAAGACCACACGTCCGCCCGGGCACCGCAGGCCCCTGTTCTTCCAGTGGAGTTCCTCAGTGGAGCGGGAGGATAGGTTCCTCGGGCCTCGGGCAGAGAGTCCCCGGTGAGCAGCCAAGATGCGCGAAGGCTGTGAGGGCGGGGGAGGGGCGGGGTGGGGTCAGGTTTTGACTCCGCCTACTCGCGCTGGGATCAGCCTGCGGTCGGGCGCTGGCTCAGTCTCCTCTGCGCTCCGCTGTCGTCTCGGGGCCGCGGGATGACACCGCCTCCGCCAGGATGCGCCGCCCTCGGCGCCTGGCGCGCCCGCGTCCCCGGCCCGCTGGCTCGGTCCGCGCCTCTGCTGCTGCTGCTGCTCTGGACCGCTGCCGCCAGCCAAGGCCACCCGAGGAACGGACCCCGCATCTCCGCTGTCTGGAAAGGTGGGTGGAGCGGCGGCCAGCGTGGCCCGGCAGGGGACGCGGCGCGGGGCGGGGGCGGGGGTGTGCGGTACCCGAGGGGGTGCGTGCGCGCGGCGCTGGGTCCCGGGCTGCCTCCGCAGGGCGCGTGTGGGTCCGGGTGAGCGTGAGTGTGCCCGCTGGCACGCCGAGCCGGCAGGAACGCTGCGGCGAGCGAGCGGCGGGGGCTGGAGCCCCGGCTGAGTCGCCCCAAGTCCGCCCGCGGCCGGGAGCCGCAGCGCCGGGAGCAGGGGTGGGAACGGGTCCCTCTCTCGGCCCAGAGGCGCCCTCGGTCCTCCGCCGCCCGGGGCTCTGTTCAGGACGCCCCCTCCTGCCGGGACTCGCGCCCAGGTCTCCTTCCCGAGCTGCGGGCTCCGCTGTTGCGCGGGGCGCAGGCTGGGCCGGCAAGGGGGGCGCGGACCCCTTGCCGCCGCCACTGCGCTTAGACTGCGGGAACAAAGACCCCGCTGCCTGCCCCCGGCCCCGAGCGCGGGCCGGGAAACGGGTGGACCCCCTGTTGCGGGCCGGGACGCGGTGCGGCACAGAGGCTTGGGGCACCTGGGCGCTGCCTCTGCAGTGCCGGGACCGGCCGCTCCCCCTTGTCCGCACGTGGCGGTTGTCACCAGGAATCGGCACCAGCGTGGGGGGCAGTGCCGGTTGGGCGGGGCGCGGCCGTTGTGATCCCTCCAGGCGGCGGGTGTGGGACGGGGGTGCAGCTTTTAGGCCGCGGTGGATATGTGAACATGGGAGACCGGATTACCCCCGGGGCGCCTCAGTTTAGACCCCTGTACAGTGGGTCAGAAAGCCGGCTAGGTGGGCCCAGAGGCTTTCCGCCGCGAGGGAATGAGTTCCCCTCGCCTGCATGGCACACAAATGCTCTCTCCCCAAATTTGGCGGCGCTGCGCTGCGGCCCCCCTGTGGTGGGGTGGTGGATCGAGATGGAGTGGGGGGACTTGTCTGGTCTGGCCCTGCCTGGAGCCTTTTAATGCCTCAGGCGGTTTGCAGGGATTGCCAGAGCCTGAGCATTATCTGGGGCAGGTATTCTTAGCAAAGAGGCGGGGAGGGTGGCGGGGGAGCCACAAAACGGTTGGCCTGGACTGCGGCTGCAGCAGAGGAAATGTGACTTGCCCAAGGTCACTCAGCAGCATGTGAGCTCACAGTGCAGACAGGGGGCTCTGATCTGGCACAGGACCAGTGGTAGTTTTGGGTAGGGAAGCGAGAAGGATTTAGGCAGTTTTTTGTCCAGAAGGAGGGACTCTGGGGGCCAGCTGTGTTACCCAGCCAGAGGTATTTCTCGTGGGAGTGGAGCAGGACAGCTGGACCTCTGCTCATGGGGGACACCTGCATCCCCCTCAGCCACACCAGCTCCAGCCCAGGCCTCCTCTGCCTTCCCAGCACCTTAGCCTTGTCTCAGTCCCTTGGCTGTCCTGGAGAGCACAGTATTTGGGCACGCTGAAGGGGACAAATGGCTATGTCTGAGAGTTCTGGAATCTCTCGCTGCACCAAACCATGTGGCTCTGCTTGCCCTTACCTAAGCCTTCCCAAGACCTCTTACCCCATACTTAATGCACACCCACTTCTTAGCACTTAATGCTTACCTCCCCTCTCTGGCACTTAGTCCCCACGCTGAGGCTATTTAAATCTGCTTTCAGTTCTCTTACCCACTTTCAAAACTCCCAACCTAGCTCTATCTCTCCCCTGAACACAGTCCTCTACTTTAGCCACACTGGCAGTGCCCTCTGCTTGATAATGCACCAGTGACTCCTGCTGGTGTCTGCTAATCCTTCCCCTGTCTTGTCCCAGGGCATTTTTCACCAATGCCAGGCACCCCACTGGCCAGACAGACCCTGCCATCCACCTGTCCCCCAGGACCGCCAGCTGGTGATGGTATGACTTGGCTGACAGCTGCCTCCTATTTCCTGTGGGGTGACACATGGCAGTCGACAGGCATGGGCTTTGGCAGGGCAAACCCAGGACTAGGGTGAGAGGAGGACCCTCCCAGCCTTGCTGTAGGTTTAGGTCCCTGTCTAGTGGTTTGGGGATTGGAGGGTGGTGGCCTCCAGAAATAATGAAGGATAATGGTGGTTCTGGAGCTTCCTCTCTATGAGTCGCAGATTGGGGTTTTAGTTTTAGGCCAGGACAGGTGTGGACACTGGACTAGGTATGGAGGGCTCCTCTGTCATTTATTTTCTGCTGCTGGGATATTTAAGTTCTAGGGAAAGATTAGCTCAGAGAGCTCGGGGAGGGTCCCAGACTGTGCCTGCTGGGGAGGCTGGTGCTTCTCCAGGCCTGATACAGGCCTGGCCTAGAGCAGGGAGAGGGATGTGCCAGCACTGACCCTCTGGGGGCCCTTGCACTCCGCACCTGTCTCTGACCCTCAGAGCTGGCCAGAACAGGAAGAGCTCTGCAGGTTGTCCCCCAGGGGCTGTCACTGATACCTGGCCCGTCAAGGATGTGAATATATGGGCCAGCTCGGCAAACGGCCTGGAGGGGAGTAGGTTGCAGGTGAGGGCAGGAGGCCGGTGCACGGAGTAAGCAGTGCACTCGTCTCCTATCCCATCCCTGATTGGAGGAGAGAGAGAAGCCCTGGAAGGTCCTGACTCTTAGGGTCAGAGATGAGCCAGGCTGTCCACAGCCAGAAGCAGAGCTGAGTCTTCCATTCCTCTTGCCCAGCTGCCCCTGCTCGCTCTCTTGTCCAGTTAAACAACAGGATGTTATTGTTGACTTGATGGCTGCTGGGGGAGCCATTATGGGGCCATTCCCCAGGGCAGGGGGTTGTTGTCACCTCCTCCAGGAGATGAGGTCACAGCTGGGGCTCTCCAAGCATCAGCATTTCCAGTGGAAATCCTTGTTCCTTTGGGGACTTAAATGTGCTCATCACCTTCAAGGTGAACTCCCCTTGCAGAAAGGGAGGGGATGGTGATTCCCGGGAGGGGAGGGAGGTTTCCTAAGCTGGGAGCAAATGGAAAGATGTTTGGTGGTGTCACCAGGAGCTTCCTGCTCTGTGGCCCCTCTGTCATGGGTAGTGAAGTTCCGAGGGCAGGCTGCGGTGGGATGGACCCTTGCATGGGTCAAGACGAGCATGGTGTGGGGCAAAGAAGTGGGAGGTTGGGAGCCTGGTTCTGGTCCCAGCTCCGACCTGATTTTCCGTATGATGCTGACAAGTGCTTGCCTTTTTCTGAGCCTCGGTTTCCTCAAATGTTCAAAGCAGGTGGAGCGATGAGCTTGTACTTGCCAGAGCACTAATACCCATCAGAGCACTTGTACTTACCAGGCGGTGGTGGCCTGTTCGAACCTCAGGGGTGAGGAGGAATTGAAACCTGGGAATCAGGGGAAATCCTTGATGTTCATGTTCTTTCCTATCTTTTTTTCTCATGAGCCAAAGCTGAATACCAGCTGAAGGAAGTGGCTCATTGGTTTGTGGCCTCAACAGTAGACATAGTAATTTAGCATTTTTGACATTTGACATTTGCTGGGGCCAACCTTGTGTTGGTCATGGGGCTTGGCTTGGGGATCCAGGGATGAGAAACCAGACAGTTCATGAACTTCTCAGTGTAGATGAGGAGACAGACAGGCAGGTCAGCCTTCAGTTACAATAGAATGTGGCAGGGCCTGTAACAGGCAGCAGCTATAGGGGTTGAGGAGGTACCTAACTCAGTTGCCCCAATCAGGAAGGGCTTCCTGGAAGAGGTGGCAAGCTGGGATGGCAGGAGGTGTAGGAGCCAGCTTGGGGAGGGACCAGAAACACCTGGCACGACTGGATTTCACACTCCGAAACTTGCAACCAGGACCAGGGAGAGGAGAAGATCTGAATGGGAGCTCCCAAGAGGGAGGCATTGAGTCAGCTGGGGTCTGGGGGCTTCAGGAAGGTTTCCGACAGCAGCAGATATCTGAGCTGGGCCACCTGATCTTCCAGAGCCAGCCAAGCAGTGGGGAGGAAGGAACCTGGCAGGTAGGGGAGGCCTCCCCAGGGTCATAGCTCCCTGATGGGAAGCTGGGGCTGGGTCAGGGGAGATCAGAGCTTTCTGCCTGACTCCTAACTGCGTGCCTTCTCCGAGTGAGGAGGCTACTCCTCAGCAGAGACTTTATAGGGGTAGGAGCTCGCCAGCCAGCCCCAGCCAGGTGGGGCAAGAGCAGATGCCCTTCCTCTGACTAGCTTCCTCTTCCAGGAACCTTCACTTCCTTAACAGGGGCAGACCTCTCCGTGGGCTGGAGATGGGATCCTGGGCCCTTGGGTGGTGGGCCCAGGGAGAACCAGGAGCCCTTCCTTAAGGAGGGCCAGACCAGGGCCCCTAATGTGTAGGGGAAGCTGAAGCTCTGTGCAGGGAAAAGGCACCAGTGTCCCACAGCAGGACTGGGTGGCCCTTGAGTTCACAACTGGGGCCCCACCTGAGGTCCTGTCCTCCACCCCCAGCCCCATGCCCTCAGCCCTCTGGCGGTGTCACAAGAGACTGACCTTACTTCCCCTGGCCTGGTTAGAAGCTCTGGGGCCAGAAAGCTTCCCTTTCTCTTTGTTGCCTTTTTTGGCCGGGTGTGGCTGCCCCAGAAGCCTCCTGTCGCCCAGAGAAGGCGGAAGAGGGAGCCCTCCTAGAGCATGGGACTGTGGTCCCTTGTTGGCCGTCCGCTTCCGAGAACACGGGCCTCCCCCTTCCCCGGTGAGCGCAAGCCGTGAGGGACCAGGAGATCTGTCCTCTCCTTGCCCCCTATGGTATGAGGGTGCTTCTCCCTCTCCGAGCCCTTTACTAGCCTTCCCCTGCCCCCTGGCCTTTGCTCCGGACCCTGCTGTGCCTCCAGGACTGCTTGGCCTCCTTGAGACCCCTCCATTCCTCTGTGTCACTGTGCTGAGCGTTCCTCTTAGAACACATAGTGACAGAGCTGCCGCCTCCCCACTCCTGCACGGTGGCTGGCCCCACTCCACCTTACCTCCCACATTCTTCCCTCAGCATCCCCAAGTTGTCCTGCCTTGGGACTGTTGCCCTGCTAGT